ATATCAAAAACGAATTTGTCAGTATCAAATTAAATAGTACTTGATTCATCTATCAAATTTCAAATGAAAATATTAAAGAAAAGTCTGACCTTTTCGAGGTGAAAAAAATTAGACACATTTTTGTTTGGCCAAAATTTGAGACATTATCTTTGATGCGAGATATTTAATATAATTGAAAACCTGCAAAAATACAATTTGAATTGTATGAAATTGAGCACATTGGATTTGTTTAGACTTTGTGGAAGATTTTATCTTAAAAATAGAGCCAGATAATTCCAAAATGTGGTGACAATATTAAATAAATGGAACTGTCCAAGTAAATGCCTATGCAATGTATCTAATTAATAAAACTCAAATCAAACAAAGTTTAACAAAATTTGGCCTTTTCTTTCTTCAATCAACCACTCCATCCCCTTTTCCTATATAAATAAAAGTATGTTTCTCTATTGTCCCCTGACAAACTTGGCAGCAAAATCTTGCCAATCTATTTTTTTTTTAATGATCCATAATCGTCTGAGGCTCGCATGGCATAAATTTATTACTAGATTCCTTAATTTACGATCAATCTAAAGTCCAATTAAAAAAGCTCTTCCACGTCGTATTAAAACTCAAGTTGAAAAATTATATTAATAAGTCTTTTAGTCGGTTCGGTCAAGTATTGTGGACAAAAAGTCCTAAAGAGTTTTATATGAATACCAGTAAGAGTTAATCCAGTTGGTAAGAAGTTAACTCATAACTCAAAAGTTCTAGTTGAAAGTACTTTTGTAAGAACTCTTTGAGCCTGAAAGCATACTCTAGTCTTGGTGACCCTCGCGATCCAAGTCACCTAAATTTTTAGTTATCAAATTAAAAAAAAAAGTTTTATATGAATAATTTAATATATTTTAATTGTAATTTGATTTAATGCCCAAAAGTATTTTCTACTGCGAAATGATCACTTCATTATAGTGAAGCAATTTTTTTCGGTAACAAGTTAAGCAAGATTTAGCCTAATGCATTTTTATTTTATTTACAAATAGTTGCTCAATTTTAAAATAAAAAACAAAGCTACCTTCAACTCTGACCTGTAAGATTTAAACATAATCTTCTTATTTCTTTATTAAAATGAGAAATAAATTTTTAAAACACATTTCACACGATCACAAAAAATAGAGACCTTTTTGTGAAGTATTTATTATATTTTTAGCATCATCATTATTATGCAGTAACCTTTTTTATTATTTATTTGAAATTCTAGCACGTGAATTATTCTAAAATAATTGAAAGATATCCTTCCTAATTTGTAAAGTTGAAAGAAAAAATAGGGTTAAAGAAAAAATCATAAAATGATTAAAGAAAAAATAGGGTTAAGATGCTTCACCCTAAAATATTTTCTTATATGCATCCAGTATCCTTAAGTATTTTATATTATATCCAACACCCCTAAAGTATGTTCAACATTGTGAAGTATTTTTTGATGCATCCAATATCTTAAAACATTTTTTTAGATGCGTCTAGCACTTAAAAATATTTTTTGATGCATTTAGCACCAAATAAAAACAAAGAAAAAAAAACTTCTGGGTCCTAGACACACCTAGAAATACTACGCATGCATGTGTGTGAATGCACCATAAAATATTGTGGGATACTAGATGCAGCCAAATACACCTTAACCAGAAAAAAATATGTTCATATTTTTTCTTTTAAAAAATTATACTCCTCCGGTCCTTAATATAGACCCAATTTGACTTTTTATTTGGTCCTAATTATAAGACCCAATCCATTTTGTTTCTTATATTTTATGCATTTTTTTCCAAGATAATCCTTCTAATAATGATAGTTTTAGCTATACTTAATTAGTAAAGATATTTTAAGAATGACAACACTTATTTATTATAAATAAACTTAACTTATCCTTAATCTCCTCAATAAGTCAATTGGGTCTTATAATTAGGACCGAGGAGTACTATATAAGTCAAAGGAAACGAACCATGCCTATGCACCTAAAAGGTTGAAAAGGCAAGAGCAAACTTCGAGACACAGACTCAAACACAGAGAGAAGTTTGGCATAACGCCCAGTCTTTGCACTGAAAGAAAAACCCAGTTTCTAGTTTCCGCCAATAGCTTCTTCTTCATCCTTTAAACCCTCGTTCTGGTTATGTCTCTGCTTCCATTTACAGTCAAATCTCTGCAAATTTCAGTACAGTAGATATATAGACAGGCCTTCAATATCAGTGATGGCCTCAGCCATGGAAGCATCTCCTAATTACAGCACAAAGACAAGTGAAAGTTCAGAGTTCAGCTTGAGAGAATGGGAATTGAAGGCACAAAGAAATGGAGTGAAAACTAAGTCCAGAAGGTACTCTGCATCATATATCAGAAGCTTTAATGATGAAACTAGGTCTTTTAGATCATCAAACATCACTTTCTCCAGTGCTGCTTCTTCACCTGCATACACCTTTAAAGGTATTATTTCTTCCCTTTCTATCTTTCCTTCTTTTTCATTCATGGGAGTTCATGAGTTTTTCTTCTCACAACTTCTTCTTTCTTGTTTTTTTTTTTGGGTTCGCAGATGGAATAGATCCTTCCACCTACTCCTTCAATACCGCTATCAGAGGTAACAGAAAATAAATACAGAATCAAACTCATAATTAGTCAAAAAGTTCATATACAGACTATAACCCATTAATATATACTTTGAACACTCATTCCATTATTGTCCATGTACTAGGTTAAAAAGCATGTAGGGTTCTAGATTAGCGCCTATAGAATATATAGGATATGAATTTGGTGTTAAAAGGATGAGATTGACACAAAGCAAACTTTTGTGATTTGACTGATTTGGAGTAATGATGCAGCATTACAGGCAAGGTCATGCTTATCTCCAGATGGGTTAGCTTTGAATTCAAAGTGGAATGAAGCAGAGAAGTATATATGTAATCCCCTTTCTGGGGAAGTACCATTAGAATGTTTATCTTCAAAAGCTCTGATCAGCAGTGGAAGATCATTTCGTAAATCAACAAACAGAGCTATTACCATGTTTGATAATCCTACAGCTTATTCTTCAAGAAATCCTCAGACAAAGACATCATCAACTGACACACATGAAGAAGAAGATGGGGTTCTTCGGTTTTCAGTTTCAGGTTCTAATATTCACTTATTCAGATTATTTAATTTTTGTCATGCACTTCTTTGAGATAGATCCCACTTATTTTCTTAATGACTTAATGTTCCTTAGTGGAGGTGATATAGAACTGGACGAATTTTTTCAGTATATATTCTGTTATTTTCTATTTTTTTTTTCCTCGCACCAGTCTGAGATAACCCTGTACGTTCACCCCCCCCCCCTCGTATTTGAAGTATATTGTACTGAATTGCATCCATTTTTCTCTATTTCAAAACACAATAAATAATAATATAAACCCCTTTCTCAAGATCCTGGAATTTTTTCTTTATGTATAACTACTCGTATTACTAATTGAATCACTTTTTTTTTTTTTTTGGTACAGAAAAGAAGAAAGAGGGAAAGACAAGAGATGTGGGGATTCAAAGTACTCTTCCTTATCTCAGTTCAAGCAGCCCCAGCCCTGCTTCAACTCCATCCATCACAGACAGAAATGTAAAGGAAATTCCAGATTCACCTTTTTCAAATGCAAGATCCAAACCAGACCAAGAGGTTCTTACTCCTCCTTCACTTCTTTCTCGAAATAATCGTTTTAAAATCTTTTACACGATTTAACTGGGATTTTTCTCCAAATTATGGTATGTGCAACAAATCATTAAGTCAATAAAATACGTACACTTTCTCAACACTTTCAAACTTATCATTCAAAAGTTCAGGGGATATTTTTCTTTCCTTTTCTTTTCCTTTTTTTTTTGGGGGGGGGGACCCTAGTCCACTGGTTGTGATTTCCAAGAAGGAAAATGGAATCTGAAGGCTGAATAATTAGATAGTACCCTTTCAAAGTGGGGTAGTGATACATACGTTGGTCCCTCCTATGTTTCTGGTGTTGCAGCTTCGATTAGTGTTGGTCCCTTCATACTTTCTTTTCCCAAGCTCTCTGCTTTTTAAGAATTATACAGTTGAACTTGTCTCTGTCCTTGGGAACTTTTCTGTTCACCAATCTGTTATCATATGAAACCCTTGTGTACAAACATGCAGGCTTCCACTACCCAAAGATCCCACATACAGAAACTAAATTTGAACCATTAAATTCTATAACCTGCATAGAACACCATTTTTTCTGAAGACATTATTCTTTTTCTCTTGAACTGCAAAACAAGATGATGAGGGATTCCATAAACCACCTTATTGAATGAGTTTTGTATGGTAGTGCTCTTCATTTTCTGGCCAACTCTTATGTGTGCTTCTATTGCTCGTGACTTTTTGGCCATTTAGAACTTCTAAGTGAGAAAAATATCTAATAATTGAGTACTTGTTTTGCAACATTTTGGAAGGGCATTTATTCGTGCAATCAGGAACAGAGATGCTGTCATTTTTAATAAAGCAGAACCTTCAATAATTCATGTCCCTTGATTGAAACTTCAAATTTGTCATCTTTATCTGATTCTGCATTGGTTGGAATAATTGTGTTTGACACCAAGAGTCTGTCTGCTGAAAAGGGTAGGCCGAAAAACTCATTTACACCATTTCTAAATCATATCTATCACATTTTTATATTTATTATTTAATAATTCTTGACAAATAACTTAAAGGAACATTTCATGAAAAAGATATTTGATATAACTTCATAAAAGAATGTTTAAATAAATCAAATTTACTTATTAGTTGTTCTAATATCTATTCATGATTGACTTAAGCAGAATCCACTTAAGTTCATCTTATTTGAGGTCCACGTCCTTTTCTCTCATAGAGATCTGTCTGCCATGATGTGACATTGATGTGAGAGAACAAATGGATATACAGGTAGAAGAGAAGGATAAAGACAAAGAAATGGAAAAGAATCATGCGTTGGGGACGCAAGTGGATCAACTTTACAGGCAAAGTGGGTGCTTTCCATGGATCAAGAAGAAGAAAAGGCTTAAAGATAAAGAGAAGGGAAGGCATATAAAGATCAGCATCTTCATCGCTAGATGTCAAGGAAAAGAGTCTGTAACATGATAAAGAAAGGCATACATTTTCAGCAATGTTGCTGGTTGAGCTTGTGCTTCTTGGAAAGAAACGGAAGATAAAATAATAAGAAGGGTTATTAAAAGGATAAAGTGATCATGATCTTATGATTTGTCCATTGTGTGGTGAAAATTGGCTTGTGCCACTCATTCTCATAATTGACACTAACAATTATTATTTATTTTTAAACTAAGGAACCTGTACAAAAGAGTTCTTTCCTAAGTATTGGCTTCAGTAAAACACTGCATAACAAGCTCAACACAATTGTGAAATCCAATTTTCAGCAGAACTTTTTCAAGGAAGCTGCATTCCACACAATTATTAGGGGCACCCTAAGTTCGCGGGAAAGAGTTAGAATGTAAAATTGTTCAAGTGTCAGGAGTTAGAGTGTTATCATTTGGATCAAACATGGTATATTTGCTTTAGTTAGTAGAGCCAAAAACTACAGACTTACGCCTCTAACAATCTTTTGATGATTAATACTCTTTTGGTTCTAAATATAAAACCCCTTTTATACCCTTTTCTAGTATAATTTAAGATCCATTTTGTAGTATAAATTATATTATAAAAAAAAAATCCTACATTTAGGACCGAGGGAGTAATATTTACCTTTTCCTTTAATCTCTCCAATATACTTATTTCTCTTTCTTCTTTGATGAACTCCATCGGTAAGTTCTGTTACTTGTTCAGTAATTTCCTCCAATTAAGATTAAAAACACTAGGGAGCCGATACCAGCAGCTCTATATTGTTACTCCCTCTGTCCCTTTTCAAAAGAATAATCTCTCTCATAGCAAACTAGTGATATTTGAAATTTTAAATTAGTATTCTTGCTTTTACCCTATTAAATATATGTTACTTATTGCAATACATTTTCACTCATTACCTCTTATATATTCTCATTGCCTCTTCACTCATTATAATTGTAAAAATAAGTATATGTCTTGCACATTTATTTATTGTTTTTAGTTAAATTTGACTAGCATTTTGAAGTCATTTTGATAGTTGTTTCTTATAATAAGAGACGGAGGGAGTAATGAGCAGACATTCCACTTGCCTCCAAAAAAGTCGTTCTCAAAATATTAGTGCAATGATCCGGGGGAAAAAAGCTCTTGTGGATTCCTAATTAGAGAGATGTGAAGTCAAATAAACCATTTTCTTTAACCTGTCACTCTTTTCACTTGTCTCCATATGTTTTACCTCTAATAAGAGCAGTATTATATGTCAATGACCTGCCAATGCCCTGCAATTCATATGAGCTTCTTGGTAGAAGCATCTCAAAACCAATAGAGCAACCCCAAGTCTCTATCAAACACAAATAACCAGCGGCTAGAAAATTTCAGCAGATATGAAACTAATTTCTTCCTGTACATCAAGAGTAAAATAATGTGCTCCCCACAAGTATTGGCCTTTTCTTTCCAACTGCTTCTCCTTTTCCTTTCAGTGAATTTCAAAATTTACAATTTGTTGCCTTTACAATCTACTATTTCCATGAAATTCAAGGGACCCAACTCATGTGATTCAATAAAACAGCATGATGACAGTGGAGACTAAGTTGTCATGCACTTGAAGAAGGAGATACATTGGCATCTGCATCAGATATAAGCCGAACCTCGTATAGATCGTTCTCACCCTTCGCTGCACCCAGATTAATACATCAGAATGCATCCATTATTTAAAATTTGTGGCTTTTAATTCATATGAGAGGATTATTTCTTCTTCCCTTCCTCTCATCTTCTCATCCTTAGGTTAAAATTTCAATAGTTAAGATCTGATATTTTATAAAACTATTATAATATTACACAATAAAAATAAATAAATAAGTTTAAACCGTTAAAATTTAGCCAGTACAGTTTAGAGCTGTAATGAAAAGATGCAGGAAAAATTTATTTTATAAAATATTTTAATAGCAAGCTACAATTGTGAACTATCTCGATCGACTTTTAACAATTTAGTTTTTTTTTAATATGTAATATAATGATAAAAGTTTTATAAAATATTAAATCTTAACGATTGAAATTTTGATCCAATAATGAGAAGGGGAAGAGGAGAGGAAGTGAAAAGCTCCTTTTAATCCATACTTGTTTGCTGAGAACCAGAACAACCTACAATTATAAAGACTTACCGACTTCCGCTGTAATTCCGGGGCCAAAGAATGACGCAAATTTTGCCTACACACATAATTGAAGAAGTTGACATTTATACCGAGATATTAACACGCCTGAGGATCTCATACTTCAATTAAATGGAATATTGTGGAACAGCAAAAGCAATCGACACAAATGGTAAAAGCTTTCAAAATATGTTGTCTTAAAAAAAATAAATAAATAAAGTGACTGAGACGTCATCTACAAGTCTGTTCAATCCGCATATTAAGATTAAAGTTATAGATAAAAATACATCGGAACCAACCCAATATATCATGAATTTCCAATGGACAAATTCACTTTTGATCTATTCGACCTGCCCTTTAAATCCAAGAATGTGTATATACCACGCGCATATAAATGCTACCTACACATGCACGTCGCCTACTATATATACATGTGTGTAGGTATGCACACATGCACATGTATATAAGCACATGCAATCCTTTCTTCTTCTTTTTTGTTTGTTTGTTTTTTTTTTTTTTACCATTCTAAATTTTGAGCAGAATATTAAAGTTGCTGCTTTAAAATACATCAACCATAACTTTACAGAATAAATTATTATTAAACTATACATTTTAACATTTCGGCCAAAAAAAAAGTTTTAGTGTAACATTTAAGTAATTTGCAGATTGGATGGATTAGATATCGGTCCAAATAAATGATCTACAAATGGATGAACATGCATCCGGAAAATAGATCATGGATCGATTTGGATCATCCAAGAATCTTTCGACTGAAATTGTCAAGGTTGACCAACTGCCGAAGCTAAACTGATCAAGACAATTGGGTTCCCCCTTTTTGGTTTACAGTTCAGGGCCAAATAATCATGCCCTAGTACATATAGTTTGGCAACTTTCAACTTTGTATCAAGATCTCTAAACTTTTCACTAAAAGGAGGTCCCCTCAAATACTGTGTTAGTTTTTGCATATTGAATTGGTTTTTAGGTATAAATACGAGGGCATTTCCTCATTCCATTGAAGTCAAATGCATACGTGGTCATCCAATGATATTTGCAACTGGAATCCCCCCCCCCCCTTTTGAGCAAACAACTGGAACCTTTTATGAGAGAAAGAACTGTTTTTGGGGTATTTGTAAGACATGAATATAGAATATTTCGTTGGCCTCTTTCATTTCGTGAGCATTTTAATAGTAAACACTACAGTATAGGAAAGTTGCTTACCTGTCTCCGTTCAAAATCTGATAACTGCAGAGCCTTAGCCTCAAAAACCAGGACCAAACAGTATTTACCAAGTGGTGTGACCTAATCATGAGGCAGAATCAATTAAGCAATGACCATAGAGTTTAATCAAGTAAGAGATTCTCTATCAAATCATTCTCAGGATAGCATCTCAGTTAAACACAGATTATGGCATGAGGAAACCTAGCAAGCAATCACGCAAATTTTGGGACCTTGCATACGTAGATCAAACATCTTTTTCCATAAATGAAGTTGACATGAGCTTGAGTTACCAAAATGGCTATAAGGTCAGTCCCACATAATTGAGACGACAATATACAAGGGATCTAAACATAAGCCAAAGAATAAATGCTGAATATTATAGCGTGCCAATTGTCCACATCGATTAAAAGGAAAACCTGTAATGCGTAGGCTTACAATAAAGATTAGAATTAAAAGGGGAAAAAAAATGATATCACATCAAGACTGACTAAAATGTCACACACATAATAGTTGAAAACAGAATCAAAGAAATTAAAAAGCTGTCATAACAAATAACTACTTAAAATTATATATAGATAGTAAAAGGATGAGGGGAAAGTGTTTTTCCAAAAAACATGATCTTATTGTAAGAAAGGGAAACACATGAACTAGTACAATAATTTCCCGCAAACTATTATCATCTTTTCTAGAAAATGAAGAACTGCCAATATTTTCCTTTAACGCTTGCCTATAGAATCAGATCAATATTAAAAAAGCATCAAAGAAACATCAGATATAGAAAAGATAAGTAAATTAACCAAAACAGGAAAATCATACTTCTTCACGAATCATTTTTAGAACAGGTGCACTCCTCCTTGGTATTCCTCCTCCCTGGGAATTTTAAAGCAGCTAAATTAATTTCATGAGCCAAGATTAAAAATATATACTAACACTTTCATGTTAGATAAATCATGTAAGTATCACAATTCAGTTCACAAATATTGATTATTCAGACAAAAAAGAAATGAACTTCACACCATAGCTTTTACGATTGTCAAACCCCATCAGGTAACAATTAAGGCATATAAATAGAATTAGGCTCTCCACCCTGTCTTTTAATCATTCAGATGGTGAAATTCCTGTTGCAATTGTCTTTGTGGATGACGTTATCTAGATAGGTGGTGATGATGCAGAACCGTTAACTAGAAGAAAAATCATCTATTATATTTGAAATTAAAGATCTTGGCCCATTGAAATCCATCCTGGAAATTGATTATGCTGGATCAAAAGTAGACATTTCCATTAACCAATGAAAGCACATAGTTGATTGCCAACATAAAGCTCCAATCAAACAAGGAAAAGACATACTGATCAAAAGATCAAAAGATAGTTGAGAGGCTCATCTGCCTATAGATGTCCAGACATAGCTTTTGTATTTAATGCGGTGACTTGTTTTATGCAGTCGCACATAACAGAATTTTTTGAGGCAGTATATTGGATCCTGAAGTACCCTAAAGGGTCACTAGGGAGAGGAATGCTTTAGAAAAGCAAGGGGTATCGCAGGCAGAAGCCTATGTTGGTGCATATATCGATGGAAATACAAGTGACTGAAGCTACACTTCTAATAATTGCACTTCTGTCTGTGGAAATCTACTAATAAGGAGTAAGAAGCGAAATGTCAAATTTAAATTATAAGCCCATGAGTTTGTGGGGCATTGTGGATTGAAAGGGTAGCTAAGGAACTAAGCATCCACAGCCCCACAACTTCGAAAATCTATTGTGACAGGAAATCAATTATCTCGATTGCCACTAATCCAGTCCTTCACAGAGTCATGTCAAACCATACATTTAGAACTATAAAAGTAATTTAGTTAAGAACAAAAAGAAAGAGGACATATTTGCATTCCCTGTGTC